GATCTTCATAATGAAAAAAAATAGTTGCGATGGTAACCATCATTTATTCTGAATAATATGCTAAATATGATGAAGATCATCATAATCGAATTGGTTGCTATGGTAACTATCATTTATCATGAATAATATGCTAAATTTTATCAAGATCATCGTAATGATCATCATGGTTGAAATTGGAACTATAATTTGTTGTGATTAATATGTTATATTTGATCATTATCATCAAAATGAGGATAATGGTTGCCATGGCAACCATCATTTATCCTGATAATATTGCTAAATATGATCAGGATAATCAAAATGATGATAATAGTTGCCAAAGCAACTATCATTTATCATAAATAATATGCTAAATATGGTCAATATCATCATAATGAAAATTATTGATGCTATGGTAACCATCATTTATCATGAATAATATGCTTATGCAAAATCATCATAATGAAATTATGGTTCCGTGTAACCATCATTTATCATGAATATTAAATATGATCAAGATCATCATAATGAATTTATGGTTGCCATGGTAACCATCACTTATGATGAATAATATGCTAAATGTGACGAAGATCATTAACATGAAAATTATGGTGGACATAGCAATTATATTTATCAAGAATAATGTGCTAAATATGATCAAGATCATCATAATGAAAATAATGGTTGCCATGGTAACATTCATTTATCTTGAATAATATGCTAAATATGATCAAGATCATCATAATGAAAATAATGGTTGCCATGGTAACCATCATTTATTATGAATATTATGCTAAATATGATCAATATCATCCTATTAAAAATTATAGTTACCATGGAAACTGTAACGGGCCGAGCTGTCTGAGACACACACACGTTCGATCCAGTTTCTAAGTGTCTTTTATTTAATCCTCGTGCTCCCTATATACATGTGCTCAAGACTCTCATATTTCTAATTACAATAGTGCACTGTTACTTTATCTATATACAATAGTGCACTGTCACATTATCTCATCACAATAGGTGCACTGTTACATTTTCCCCTCACTTAAGTTTTCGTCCCCGAAAACAACATATTTTTACATAGTCGACGATTTAGCTAATCGTAAGCATAACGTTCGGGAGGACGTATGTTTTGCCGAAGTTGATAACGTTGGGGGTCACCTCTAGGCCTACGGGGAGGTGGTTGTAACACGGGGTGCTCGGGCAATGCGTGAACCACTGCGAAATCACCCGACTCACGACCAGGAGCAACGATTCGGCCGCTATCCAGTTGTATATAGCTGTCTTAAGGTTGTCGTGGTGAACTACCATAACTTTTCCATCATTCGAGCTAACTCGATAGGTCGTCCCCATTCTCTTCACTACCTTATACGGCCCTATCCACTTCCTACCGAACTTACCTTTCTTTGGGCGTTTCACCCAAACGGTCTGACCTACTGCATGCGGCTTCCAGTTCTTATTGTCGTGATTTGAACACCTGGTTGACCTTACCTTATCTAAGTGCTCTCTAGCTAGCTGCCTAACATTCTTAAGGTTATTGCGGACTTTCTGTGCGTACTCTGGTTGAGTGCTTGGATTCCCAGTCGTTACACCGAATTCTAATTCCAGAGGCATGCGAGGTGTTTTTCCGAATACGAGTTCGTACGGGGAGAGCCCAGTAGATTCATGTTTGCTTGTATTATAGGCAAAGAGAACGGGATCTAGCCAAACATCCCAATCGTCAGCATTGTTAGACACATAATGCGCAAGCATATCTTGTAGCGTGCGATTCTGTCGCTCCACTTGGCCATCCCCGGAAGGGTGGTATGCTGTGGTTCGTGTTTTCGTTATCCCCATAATGTTACAAATTTCGTGCATTAAGATACTTTCAAAGTTTGACCCTTGGTCTGAGTGCAGCACGAGCGGCGGTCCAAAACACGTTGGGGATTTTTTAGCGTGAAAACGCTCGCGCACGAAAGCGAGGCTAGGTTCATCACTTTGGCAAGAGCACGAAATTAAAAACAAGATGGCGGCTTGTACTCCTAGTGACAATGATCTAAGTTTGTTCGTTAGGGAAGTAGTATCAAGCGGTAAAGAAAAATACCTGAAACGCTTTGGGATAAGAAGTCCAAAATATGTGGAATACATGAAAATGTTCGAGAATCTGGCTAAGATAGCAGGTAAACTTTGCAAAGAAGTGAATGCCGACGACGAATTCGAAAAGTTGGAGCATCATCTGGTAGAAATACACCCGCTTGCGATTCGTGAAATATCTATTTGGCATTCTCAGATAATGAGGAGGCTGAGGAAGAAAGCTCTTGTCAAAACAGGATGGAAAATAGTTCTTGTAAGAGATTTGCCGTGTAAAATTTTTGAACATATTGTGCGTATATGCACAGCGAATACTTGTTTTGCAACTACAACAATTAAAACAACAGTAGAGCACGTTGTCGAATTTACCAACATGAGAAAAGTTATTTATATATTTAAACAAGCTGCTGGTATCCACAAAGATTTGATCAAAACTATTGCGAACATGGGGGAAGCTAAAGCCATTGTATCTCAGGAAAAACCATTCAAACTTTCCTACAAAGTAAAAATTGAACAACTTAAAGTGCAATGCCACTATGGATTTTGGAACACTCATGGGGTACCACAGTTTTAGATCAATGTTTTATAAATGAGGGTACAATAAAGACAACTTTTGATGTTGTTTTGTTGAGTTATTCTAACAATTGAACACCTTTTATAACTGAAATGTTATCAATTATTGTCTGTAAATGCCCCTCTCAGTGGTCATTATTTTCTATACACATTGCATACACACATTCCATAGTCATTCACAACTCTTCTTTTATTAACAAATTTTCAAGTGTGCATGTAACTAAAATAGTCAAAAAATATGCACAAATTAATTAATTACACTTTCCATTATTTTATAAATAGTGTAACATTATTTTATAAATAGTGTAAATTTACATAAATAACTGCATATATAAAATATAATACATTATGTTAAAAAGGTATATAACATCATTTTTTCAAATACTTGTGCAAACTTGCACAGACTTTTCTCTTTCCAACACTTTCTTTGATAAATGTAACAACCTTAGAAGAACATATTTCACATTCATCCATTAACACATCTTTAGAAAGGCCACAGTGACAAAATCATCCGTATTACATCGTTCAGGCACATACTATAAATGTGGTCTTACAGTAAGTATCAATGTATGGGTTTTGTTCCCTCATCCAAACTAATGCGATATATTCATGTCTGAAAATTTGTTGCCATCTGTGCTGATATGTGGTATTTTTAGAGTATTCCCCCAATCGTTGGTGTTTTGCCTCCCGTCCCTGCATGGTGTTTAAACCCAATCCTGTTTTGAACTTTTCAAACAACTTATTGGCATGCACTGGTACTACATTGCCCACTGTCCAAACACTAACCGTAATCCTACTGAGAAATAATGCAGCTGCATTAAAGTAGTTAACACAACACCTATTTAACTTAGCAAGGAGCTCCTGTCTCATATCTGTTATTCGTGAAAATATGGACACTGCATCCCTGAGATTAATTGCCATAAATGATATAGCATAGACAATAAGATCTTCATAACAGTCTAAATTGTTTGGCAGTAAAACCTTCACTAGTTTTGAAAAACCATTACACATCAACCTGGTTTCTTGACCAGTGAATCTGAAGTGAAAAGCATTGCCAGTTTTACGACCTTCTCTAAACCACCGAAGAATTGAGTTATACAGCCTATTTGCTTTTACTTTCTTTTTTAAACATGACAAAAACTTTCTCAAACAGCAGCTCTTTGGTAAATCTGTTATTTTTTTGGCACTACATGGAATTACTGTTTTTGAGTACAAAACATATTCGAACAATTCTGTGAACAAAAATTGCCAATTATTGTTTGCCAGATGTAATGGTTCTACAACAGCCTTGTCTATAAAAGGCCCCAAAATAGGTTCAAATTCTTGTCGAGATTTTTGACTTGCAATGAATTGAGTTACCTTAGTGCGGCCAACTAGCTGCTTTTGGGTAAGCTTACTCTTGTACTTTTCAACACGTTTTACAACCTCCAAACGTTTTTGGTAGTCCCATGGTTGAAAATAATCATCACTAGTTGACCCAAAAGTTTTACCCATTTGACTCTTTTCGGATTCCGAAACGTTGGCAAATGAAGAAAAATAGGTGGCTGAGTTAGGAAGCTCCCCAGAGATAAATGCTAACCACTTCATATCTGCTGGCAATAACTCAAATGAAAAAGAGATGGAAATTCCCTCAATGAGGTATGTTTTCTTTTCAATAATTTCCATCTCTTTTCTAAGTAACTTACCATACTCAATCATTGATTGGTGCTCTTCTGAGCAATTTGCCCCACATATTAAGTAGTTTTCATCACAGCTTGCGACTCTATCAGCGACATTTAAAAATGAAACAAGCCAAGCTGTTGCCTGGTTATATTTACCAAATGGGGCCCCATCTGCTCCTATTGATACCTGAAACATGCCTTTACGTAAACCAAACCAATTAAGAAACCCAGGTTGTGCATTATCTAGAACTAAATACAGGCTAGCTATCTTAAGTAGGAAGGACTCTAACTCTCTATAACAACCTGACACAGCATGCTCACCACTGCTTTCATCGTCAGATTGTTGCTGTTTGTCAAGAGCTGAATGGTTGGCTCTTGGAATCTCTTTCAGTTCGCCAATGTCAACAGAATTTACAAAGCGCCTCACTTTTTTGTATTCCATAAGCTTGGGAACTTTGCATCCTTTCATGTATGTAATTTGGTGCTTCTTACCATGATCATCAGTTTCAAATACTTCTCGACTTCGCTTCCTGTTGTATTGTTTTTTGCTGGAAACACCACCTTCATAGAGAACTCCTAGTGACCGCACCAGGTTCTTTTGGCTGTGCTCATATTTAACCACTGATTCATTAATGATAGAGGGAATAACATTTGAAATAACCAATGGAGATTTTTCCATGTACGATCTCATCTCATGTGCTGTAGTGGAATTAATTAAAGTACTCCATAAGCCATCCAAAGCAGACTTCTTTTCAAGCTCTTATCATCAGAAGACTTAGCATTTATTCTTTCTGCTTGATCAAACATCAACCTCCTTCTTTTTCGTGCTGTACTCTCAGGAAGATCAAGCTTCTCGCTACAGGTTTGGTTAACAACTGATGAAGTCTTTGGATGGGAATGATGTGGGAGCTTGACTTTTTCATTTACTAACAGTCCCCTCTATAAAATGAACATACATAAGCACACATGAGCCTCAGGAAAGTTCCCAAACTTCCAAATACACCAAAATATTCAAAACTAGGGACTACATATGCAGAATTCCTCAAAATTTCAAGTGATATCAAATTATCACAGGCTCTTTCATACCAAAAATATAATATAAACCAAATATGAAAACCAAATATAAACCTTCTGGTGTGCAAACACATCAACAATGAAAATTAATTGAGCATCTATTAAGAACACCAGACTTTATAAGACAAACACTTTAAAATGTAGCTACCTTCCTCTTGAGATCTTTAATTTCTCTCTCACTTGCTTGAATACAATCTTTCAAATCCGAAATCGTACGGTTATTTGCGACGATTTCTTGTCGTTTCGCCTTATTTTCTCTTGCCCAGGCACCAATATCGAAGTGCTGTTTACGCTTAGACATGATTTAAGATTAATTGTCTCCATGACATACATTCAAATAATTGAAATACACTATATATGGGAAAGCAGCCTGGTTGAAAATCCTGCAATTACAAAACAACAGCCTGTATTATACATCTTTGGAAAGCTCAGATTTTGTTCTAAAATCCTCTCGTTTTAGATTTTAAGAAAACTTTATGAATAAAGAGTAATAGATGAACACGCAAACGTAATAATTTTAGAGAGCCGTTGTTGCTCAAACATACCTTAACATAAACGCCGATAAAGCCATCACTAAACGTAGAAATGCAACCAAATTAAGCTCAACAGACAGCCGAAGATCCCTTCTTTAGTTACCATGCCAACAAAGACGATTCTTTCCGGCCATAAAACGTAAAATACCGATCTTTTGTGTTAAAGTATGAATCAGACGATTGCACAATATAATTGACTGCGCTTATAAATATGCAATCAGGGAACTGGTGACGAGTGAGCGTTTTCAAGCTAAAAAATCCCCAACGTGAAACGCGAGAATACTTTGGATATTAAACAGTCGGCCACGGTTGAGGCCTTTTGATCTTTCGTAGGGAACGCCTCGCACCATTTGGTAAAATGGTCCATGATAACGAGTATATATTTATTCCCCCTCGCGGTCTCCGATATGGGGCCCATGTAATCTAATGCCCAAAATGTAAAAGGCTCACTAACACTGATCGTTTTCATAGGCGCTTTATCTGGATTCGAAGGTGATTTGCGGCGCTGGCAAGATACGCAATGTTGGATATGGGCTTGCACAGAGGCACGCAGATTTGCCCAATAAAATCTTTCGCGAATACGCTGTTCGGTTCGTGCTGAGCCGAGATGACCGCACGACGGACTATCATGCATACCGTCGAGTATCTTAGGCACTATGGATTGTGGAATCACAATGGCGTGATCAGGATATGTGTACTGGTTGTGGCGAGATCGTACTAGTAAACCATTATGTATAAATAAGCGATCGTAATTATGCCAAAAATTTTTCAGAACTGGGTCAATGCTCCACTCCTTGAAATCTGGGCGTGGTTTCTTGGCATCTTAAATTCCAAAACTTTCGAGATATTGCTGTCCTGCCGTTGTGCTTCATGTAGGTTTATAGTTAGGCTTACAGTAATTGAGTTAATTTTTTCATGCCTAAAGACAGGTGTATTCTCAGTTGCTTGTGTTTGCGGTTGGAAAGCGCGCGCGTGTGGGTTGAGTAATTTGTTTGTAGTGCATTTTTGCGGCAATGTGATAAAATCGATAGCGCGTGCACAACTAGCCCAAAGCATGAAAAGGAGCCCAAGCACATAGATAACAGGCGCTGTTATGAGACGCTTTGCCGTCGCTTTCCATTCAGTTAGCATTGAAGGAATCGTGTGGATAGCGGAAGTTTGACATGTTTCCTCGCATTTCTTAGCTACTAGGTGATAAGACATCTGCATTCAAATGCGATTTACCCGGTCGATGTTGAACCACCAAATTCGAACTCTTGCAAATCCATTAGCCATCTGGCTAAACGCCCTTTCGGCTCGATGGAATTTAGCCAACGAAGTGCATTTATGATCAGTAATTATTCTGAATTTGCGCCCTAAGAGGTATAGACGAAAGTGTTGGGTGCCGTAATGAATTGCCAACGCTTCTTTTTCAGTGGTCGCATAATTGCGTTCCCGTTGCGTCAGACTGCGAGAGCCGTATGCGATGACTCTTTCTATACCATTGTCATCGTGCTGGGCAAGTACAATACCTAAACCAACATCTGATGCGTCCGTGTAAAGAGTAAACTCGCGATCGAATTTTGGGTAAGCTAATAAGGGTGCGGAACAGAGCTGACGTTTAATTTCCTTAAAAGATATTTCGCACTCGTTCGACCAATCAAAAGGTGTTCTGGCGGCTTCTTTTGTTGTAAGTTTAGTTAGAGGCGCGGCGACTGTTGCAAAATTCGCAATAAAGCGGCGATAGTAACTGGCGAGTCCTAAAAAACTACGCAACTCTGTTATACATGTTGGCGCACTGATGTTCTGTACTGCCTCGACTTTCTGTGGGTCAGGGCTGATGCCGTCTTTAGAAATGACATGACCTAAGAATGCAACCCTAGTTTCCGCAAACCGACATTTTTCCAACTTAACGCGCAAGTTGTGCTGCCGAAACCTGTCAAGGACTGCTCTCAATCTGTCATTGTGTTCGCCAAGGTTGCGCCCAAAGCAAATAACATCATCAAGATAACATAAACATATTTCGAACGTGAGACCTGCTAAGACTATTTCCATAGCACGCTGAAAAGTTGCCGGAGCCGTTTTTAAGCCAAAACTCATGCGGTTAAACTCAAACAGACCCGAGCTTGTCACGAAAGCCGTTTTTGGCCGATCACGGGGGTCAACGTTAATTTGCCAGTACCCGCTGCGTAGATCTAATGTTGAAAAATATGTTGCGTCGCCCAAAGAATCTAGTATGTCCGCAATGTTTGGAATTGGATGCGAGTCGTTGAGTGTTACTTCGTTTAATTTCCGATAATCTACACAAAACGTAGTTCCCTGACCGCTTTTTAACTAACACAATAGGGCTTGCCCATGGGCTGGTACTAGGACTTATAATACCTTGTGCTAACATATCTTTGATTTGTCTGTCAGCCTCTTCTCGATACGCGTACGGCAAACGGCGAGGGCGATGTTTAATGGGGTTAGAGTTACCTGTATCGATGTTATGTGTCACTACATTTGTGTGCCCTAATGTAGCCTCAAACACATCTTCGAACTCGGATAGGACTTCAAGAACACAGCTTTTATCGGCCTGATTTAAATTAGAATTTACAACACCTTCAAATTTGTTTGTTTCGCCCTTTCCGTTATTTGCCTTAATACCACAGCTTGCGCTACTTATTTTGCTGTGAGATTGGACTAGAGGGCTAAATGCTGCGATTTGGTACCGAATTTTAGCTCGCTAGGTTCGCTATGTGCGTTCATGACTCGTAAAACAATGTTTCTACCTTGCGGGCAGACTACTGTATGTGCCACATGAATGTCGTTACCTGACTCGCTCTTTAGAGGCGCTATCATGCCTATTTCTGTCTGTGCTGATTTTACTAATCTACCCTCTACAATCATCTCAGATCTCGCGGGCACGACAACATTTTGGTCTAAAACTACGGCAATTTCGGCTTTCATACGAGACTGGATAAGGAAAGTTGAATCGTTCTCCACGCATGTTTTGGGCGTTTCGCCAGAAGGGTCACCACTTGCCTCAGTGCAAGCATCAAATTCGCGCAGCCAAATTGTTAAATCTCCCCGCTCAAACTTCGAGGGAAGAATTGCTGTAGACATCTCTATAAACCGTTCTTTAAATCGCACCGCTGCTCACCAAATTGTAACGGGCCGAGCTGTCTGAGACACACACACGTTCGATCCAGTTTCTAAGTGTCTTTTTTTCATCCTCGTGCTCCCTATATACATGTGCTCAAGACTCTCATATTTCTAATTACAATAGTGCACTGTTACTTTATCTAATTACAATAGTGCACTGTCACATTATCTCATCACAATAGGTGCACTGTTACAAAACCATAATTTTCATTATGATGATTTAGCATATTATTCATGATAAATGATGGTTCCCATGGCAACTACTATCATCATTTTCATGATCTTGATCATATTTAGCATATTATTCATGATAAATGATGGTTGCCATGGCAACTATTATCATCATTTTGATGATAATTTTCAAAATTAACATATTAATAATAATAAATTATCGTTGCAATTTCAACCATGATGATCATTACGATGATCTCGATCATATTTAGCATATTATTTATGATAAATGATGGTTACCATAACAACCATAATTTTCATTTTCATGAATTTGATCATATTTAGCATATTATACAGGATAAATGATGGTTACCATGGCAACCATAATTTTTATTATGATGATCTTCATCATATTTAGCATATTATTCATGATAAATGATGGTTACCATAACAACCATTATTTTCATTAAGATGATCTTGATCATATTATTCATATTATTCATGATAAATGATGGTTTAAATGGCAACCATAATTTTCATTTTCATGATCTTCATCATATTTAGCATATTATTCATCATAAATGATGGTTAATATGGCAACCGTATTTTTTCATTATGATGATCTTGATCATATTTAGCATATTATTGATGATAAATTATAATTACCATATCAACCATTATTTTCATTAAGATGATCTTGATAATATTTAGCATATTATTCATGATAAATGATGGTTGCTATGGCAACTATAATTTTCATTTTAATGATCTTCATCATATTTTGCATATTATTCATGATAAATTATGGTTACCATGGCAACCGTAATTTTCATTATGATGATCTTGATCATATTTAGCATATTATTCATGATAAATGATGGTTATTATGGAAACCATAATTTCATTATGATGATCTTGATCATATTTAGCATATTATTCATGATAACTGATGGTTTCCATGGCAACTATTATCATCATTTTGATGATCTTGATCATATTTAGCATATTATTCAGGATAAATGATGGTTGCCATGGCAACCATTATCATCATTTTGATGATCATGATCAAATATAACATATTAATCATAATAAATTATAGTTCCAATTTCAACCATGATGATCATTACGATGATCTTGATCATATTTAGCATATTATTCAGATAAATGATGGTTACAATGGCAACTATAATTTTCATTATGAAGATCTTAATCATATTTAGCATATTATTCATGATAAATGATGGTTGCCATTGCAACCATTTCCATCATTTTAATGATAATGATCAAAATTAACATAGTAATCATATATAATTTTGGTTGCAATTTCAACCATGATGATCATTATGATGATCTTGATCATATTTAGCATATTATTCATGATAACTGATGGTTTCCATGGCAACTATTTCATCATTTTGATGATCTTGATCATATTTAGCATATTATTCAGGATAAATTATGGTGCTATTGCAACCATTACCATCATTTTAATGATAATGATCAAAATTAACATAATAATCATATATAATTTTGGTTGCAATTTCAACGATGATGATCATTATGATGATCTTGATCATATTTTTCATATTATTCATGATAAATGATGGTTACTATGGCAACCAAAATTTTTAATATGATGGTATGATCATATTTAGCATATTATTCATAATAAATGATGATTACTATGGCAACCATGATTTTCATTATGATGATCTTGATCATATTTAGCATATTATTCAAGAGAAATGAATGTTATTATGGCAACCATTATTTTCATTATGATGATCTGATCATATTTAGCATATTATTAATGATAAATGATGATTACCATGGCAACCATAATTTTAATTATGATCTTGATCTTATTTAGCATATTATTCATGATAAATGATGGTTACCATGGAAACCATAATTTTCATTATGATGATCTTGATCATATTTAGCATATTATTCATGTTAAATGATG